GGCGGCCGGGCCCCAGCCCGGCTCCCGGCGCGGGGCGCTGCTACGCAAGCGCGGGGCAGGGGTTGCGGAGGGAATGCTCCGCACCTGGCCGCAGCCCTGCTGGCCCTGGGCTGGGCGGCTCGGGACCGGCGGCCTGACTCATCCCCAGCTGGTGCCAGTGGCCTTGCGGTCGGGCAGCCCGTGACAGTGCTGCTGCCTCTCCCCGAGGGACCTGGCTCGAGTGCAAACCCTGTAGCTTCAGGCTGGGACTGTTGGGACTATGATACTTAGACCCGTGTTTAAGATGATACTTAGCCCACTGCCAGGAGCAAGGGGCCAGATCCTTGTTAAGAGTTCCCTTTCAGGAAACCACTGTAAGCAGCCAGGTTGGATTTTGCTGGTGTCTAACATCAGATTCTTTCTTTCTTTTTTTTTTTTTTTCTTTTTTTTTTATCCTTTCCTTTTCTTTCCTGCTCCCCCTTGACAGCCAGTAGAAATTGATATGATTGTAGGTAAAGACCGCGAGGGTTTCTTCACCAATGGTCTGACTCTTGGTGCAAAGAAGTGCTCTGTGATCAGAGATAGCCTGTATGTGGATGGTGACTGCACGATGGACATAAGGACAAAGAGCCAAGGTGGCGAGCCAACATACAATGTTGCTGTAGGCAGAGCTGGCCGAGGTAAGGTGTCCTTTTGAAGCTGACCTTAGTAAAACAGGAATCCTGCCTTCAAAACTGGACTGAAACCACTTGCGTTATCTCTATAATGAGACCTTCAGTTTAAAATTGCAAGTTGGCTGTGGTACATGTCTAGCAGTCACAGGTGTAACTGAAATAAGTGACTGTAATAGAGCTCTTGGCCATATCTTATCAAATCTGTCCATACTTATCAAATGGTATCCACAAACTCTAGAGTAGCCCATATTGCAGCTGAAGGAGATGCAATATTACCCCCTTGCCCTGGGCACGTTGCATTTAAAATGTTTGGTGTTCAAAACATCCAGTGAGGGAGGGTGCTAATGCATCCTGTTGAATTAGCAAGTCTAGTGTAAACCCGGTCTGAAGTGACTGCTGTCAATTTCTAGTATGAAGTAGTCTTAAATTACGGGACATCTAACAAGTCTTACTCTAACTCTTCTCATACCTATTGAGAGCTTTTGAAATGCATCCAATTGATACCTCACTTACTTACAGTAAGCTTGTTTAATTACTCGTAGTGCACCTTCCCTAAATTTCTATAACATAATGCTACTTGGAAGAAGCTAAGCTCTATCTGGTCTTCAAAAAACTGGGTACAAGCAACACAAGTATATTCAAGACTAAGCCTGGCATTCTCAAACGTTTTGGTTTTCTGTGAATGTTACGTCACTAACCAAGGTTCACAAACGAAGTAACTCTAGAGAAAATATTGTTTCATGAATCTTCACATAACATGGAGATTCTAACCTAAGTAGTATAACATTAGTCAGACTATGTAAAGATTTCTGACTCTAAAATAGCCTTTCCTTACAAGAATAATAGACTTGCTTAACCAGAGAATGCTTACAACTGTTTTGCCTTGGTACCCCTACAAGTTAAATTCACTTCTAAGAGCTCACTAATATAGTTATGATGTAGGCAGTGTATCTATAGTAAACTGATTCCAGTGCCACTGTTCCTAATTCAATAAACTAAGAGCCATTGTGCTTGAGAAGACCAGAATGCTTATGTAGTCTATATTCTAGTGACACCTGGTGGCAGTTAGTATATACTGTTCTGTTAACTACATCTTTGGGACAGGCTTCCCTAGTAAAGCATAGATACTTTGTAGCCTAGATAACTGAATGGAAAGAGGAAGAACAAGATTAATACTAAGATTCAGATGTCCTCATCTGACTAGAGAGGATAAAATGTTTTTTTTAAGGCCTTAAGACTTAAGCTAAGTTGGGCTTTTTTGTGCGTTTGTTTTTATTATTTTAATAATGATAACAATGGCATTTTGGTTACCAGTAAGGAACCAGACCAAACAAAAGTTGGTAGGACTAGAGTGTACCCATTACAGCTATGAACTTCAGTCTCTACTTAGATGTACCAAAACATCTACTACATGTACTGACACGGATACTTTTATTTTCTTTAACTAACTTCTCTCTCTAATTGTAGGATGTAGCCAGGGTTTCCTGATCACGGGTCTGATAGAAACACATGCCTTGTTTTTCATCTTTAAATTGCATGCTGACAGGTGTTCAGGTATATTTTGTAAACTCTGATGGCAAGGGGACAAATATCTGAAGTAAGTGGGGTGTGCTTTAATACCCCCTCTCAACCCTGTCTACATTTCTACCTCAGAAAGCTTTTGTAAAACTTGCTTAATATCCAAATACTAAAACTTAAATTTGATTGTGGTTTTTATTGCACTGCCTGATTTTTTTTAAACTTGCGTTATTTCCTTGCCTAACACACTCTTTTTAAAAAAAACTTCTTTTTTTTTTCTTTTCTCTTTCAGTCTTGGTCTTTGTAATGGGCAAAGAAGGGGTCCATGGAGGCGGATTGAATAAGAAGGCATACTCAATGGCAAAATACTTGAGAGACTCTGGGTTCTAGTTGCTAGGCAGACTGTTAAGTATTAGGGGAAAATTGCTATTAAACTTTCCTGGCAGTGAGCTTTAAATCTTACATTCTGGAAACTTTATTAGCAATGCAGGGTGATGGGGTATGAACCTGTGTCTCCTTTGTATCCCTTTGTTGGTGGGGAAAGGTGGTGTTTTTTGTTTTGTTTTGTTTGTTTTCTTTTCTTTTCTTTTTTTTCTCTTTAATTCTGTTCATTTCTGTTTTGTTTCCTTGTGTACTCCAGCATTGGTTATAGTCATGGGAAAAAAAGGTGTCCATGGAGGGACACTCAACAAGAAAGCATATGAACTGGCTTTATACCTGAGGAGGTCTGATGTCTAAGCAGCCTCTCCCCATCCAACTAGCAACTGTCTTCATCACCTCCCAGTTTGTGTTCAGTGCTACCAGACTGTAGATGGTAGTTTTATGGGTTTTTTTTTTATTTACCCATTTTTCTAATGTCATGATTCCAGTTACCCTTTCGTTCATTTGTATGTTAACCACTGTATGTAACCAAGTCCCATATCTGGCACAATTGCAGCACAAAGATGATATGCATGATAACTTGAAAAAAATTGGGAGGGGGAATATGCCAAGTCTAGGCTTTGCTTTCTCTTAGCAATTAGTGCGATATTGACAACTAAAACAACTTAAACACTAAACAAGGTGCCGATTGTACAATCTAATTTGATCAATGCCTCTTCAGCACTTTGAGCAGTTACAGAGCTCATTTAGTCTTCCTTTTGTAGAGCATGGTTGGGAGGAAAAAGTGCATGCATATCTTTACTTCTCTCCCTCTCTTGTCTTCATCCACATTTTGTTTGCTTTCACCAATTTTTTTATACAGTGCCTGATTTAACCAGTTTGCCGCTCAAAAGCGCTGTGTTGCGTTAGTTTTGTTGTTGCACTTCACTCTTCATGTGTCTGAAGCGCGTACTGCTTAATGAGTGCAATTGCAAAACTATCAGAAGGTGCAGATGCACTGCCTCCCATGACCTTACAACCACCATCCTGAATGAATACCCAGGGACATTCCATCACTGCAATAGCTCAGGCACTCAATTTTTTTTGCCAGCTCCTGTTCTGTAGTTGAATTGTAAAAGGCTGCCATTATGGACATTAGATATCCCAACATAACCATCTGGAGTGTGTCCGGTTTCAGTTTTTCATAGGACCAATTTTAATTTGCGGCTTAGGGGTTTTTTATATGAAACTGCGATGTCATTGCAGGAAACTACCACCTTCAGCTTGACTGGTAGCTTTGACTGACTCCAATCTTCCTGTCAGGTCTTATTGGTAAAGGGACTTGCTGCTATAATACCAGTGTTGGGTGAGGGTTGGTAGTTTATAAACTAAAATTGTCAATGATACCATTTCAAATTCAAAATCTTCATTTGGCCTGTCACACCTTTGCTGCAGAAATTGTGGAGTAAACTGCCTTGTGCACTATCATCTGAAACGTGTAACCAAACTGTCAGTTCAAGATGGTACTAACTTGTATGTCCATTTTAAAGAGAACTGCAGAACTCTATACAAAAGAATAAATGGGAGATGGTATTGGTTGGAATAACTGACTTGGCTGTCTTGTGATGCATTTTTTTAATATGTATTCTGTGCCATACTATTGTTTAAAAAAAATGAACTGTTGCTATTGTGAGATGGATTTTAACTGACTACAAGGGTTTCTTTCGAATGGCACTACTTTAGGGACATTCTAGTATTTGCTTCTATTGTTTGGGCCTTGTGGATAATGTACAGATTTAAACAAATTCTTGTTGCTGATTTGTCCATTTCTTTCCCTGCACTTTGTTACATCTGGGATACAGTCTAACTCATCTGATTTAATATGCATTTCAAAAAATGCCATAACTATTAAAACACCTTGTTTACAGATGGATGAAATTAAATTTATTCCAACCAAATGAAATTGGAGTCTTGTATGTTTTTTTTATTATTATTTATTATGTCTCATATTCTCCTTTCCCCCCCATAACTGACTGAACTTTCTATCTGCTGTGAAATGAGCTATTGCTGTTCAGGAACGTTCTTTCATGGAACAGTGTTGAAGTACTAATCTAATCTTTTAGTCCTCTTGCTGTAGAGTTGGGTTAGAGGACTAACATTTAAGCCATAATGTGAAGACCAGTTTCAAGCTTTTGTGGGCTTTTAAAAATTCTATGGTAGAAGGGGATTCTGTCTAAGAGGGGAAAGACTCCTTCTCATAGACTTGAGCTAGTAGTTTCTCCTTTCCTGTTCAGGTTGTCACTGAAGGTAAATGTTCTCTACTTAAGCTGCCTCCATGGTGTGTTAATACTAGTATAGTGGTAATCCTGTCCACACAGCTCCAAACCACTTCTAAGAGTGATGGTTGGGAAAATAGCCTATCCAGCTTTGAAGTTGTCAGATGCTCCTAAATGACCACCAGTACTCAAAAGCACTAGCCATATGACTAAATGCACTGTGAATTCTTTAAACAGCTGTAGAGAAGCAATAGCAAGTGCCAAAAGCGCAAGCCTTCAGCCATGCTTGTCTCCCTACCTGGGAGAAATCTTACTTTTCTGTCCGAAGTGATCTACCCTCTCCCCTTCATTTCCAAATGCAGTATGATACTTGTATACAAAAGCTCTCACCAACCCAAGGAGTAACTCTTCCAACACTCCCCTGACACAAACAGCATGTGCTGGAGAGGAACATGCTTTTCGGTATTGGAGATCACTCTCAGTACCTTGCCTCGGACAACTTCACTGTTTTACCTAATTTGGCTGTAAAACCTTGCCTTCTCAACTAACACTTTTTGTTACTTTAATGAATCCTTCTAATTCTGTTTCCTTTGACAACTCCAAACCAGTTGTTTGTTTTTATTTCCACTATACTTGCAATACCAATGCAAGATAAATCTGCATTGAATCCCATGGTAACTTGTCTGGCAATCTCCAGCACTAGAAGATGAACAGGCCTTGCAATAGACTGGTAAGGAATAACTTGTTTGCAGGAATAGCCTTTACCATCAAGTAGAGGTTAGCTCATAACCTGAGATATGAGGGATTCTCTTGTGGTAGCTTTTAGGTATTTATCTTTAAGGTAATTCTGACATCCAAGTAGATGTGGTTTCACTTCCCTTCTCCACCACTCCCCAGGTGATCATGCCAAGCTCTTACAATAAAGTGTTTCACAAGTTAACTTGTGCATTGTATAACTACTTTGTTTTGTTTCTAAATATGCTACCTGTTCTTCATTAACTAGCAGAAAAATGCACATCCAAGAGAAGCATCTTCTTTAAAACCCGTGATGAAGACTGATGTGAAGAAGTTTCTCTGAAATGTCTTTATGATCATTAATTATCCTTTTGCTAGATCTAAGGGTTTGTGACCATTTATTTGTGGACTTTAAAGTTGAATATTGTTTGTAATTGTTTTTGTACTTCTCCCAAGAATGCTAATTTGAATTTTATTTTAGTCACTATATGCATCTTGGCCACACCTGTTTCTAGAAACAACTTTTATAGTGTTCAGGGATAAGTTATTCTAGATCACAGGGGAGGAGAAGCTATTATTAGCTGTTCCAAGGAGCAACAGTTTAAAGTGGTAAGGAACAGTCTTTTGTATATTATCCCACTTTAACACTACCACATTACTTACATATAGCTGAAGCTGAAATTCCTGATTTTATTGTGTTAGACTTTCTCTCCTAACATTGTTCATTTGTTGTTCTCTTTGCTCTCTTCCTGTTTAAAACTCTTCCCCCTACCTTGGCATTATCTTACCTTGTGTCCGCTACACATGCTATTGCTGTGTACATCACCTACTCTCTGCGTAAATCCCTTTCATCTGCTCCCTGTTCTGCTGCATCAAACTAAAGCTTGTCTTTAAGGTCCTACTTATCTCCATTTTTCCTTATCTTCTGGTCCCCTTTGTTCCTTCCATTATGCTGCTACCTTCCTCTCCTCATATCTAGATAACTAAATATTGGCAGGGCAGAAGTATTTATCTTAACAGCTGTATAGTATACCTACGCTACTGTTTGCTAAGATGCATGAAACTAAGTCTTCCTCCCTTTCTCACACTATGGAACTGATTTATTAACTGCAGGCCTCAGGCCCAGGAAGTCCATGAGGAGCAGTCCTATAATTCCCCCTTCTGTCTCCCAGTTCACCATACCTCCTTTGTGCTGCCCATAAGTAGAAACAAGTAGGCCACAGACTATGGCCCCTTAAAGTGGAGCGCATGAGGAATGGCTGTTCCTTAAGAACACAATCCTCTAAGCACAAGGAAAGTCCATTCAGTCCCAAAGGAAATGCAGTTAGCAGGCTGGGGTGCCCCCTTGGCTCAATAGGGAACTTTTGGACCTCCTAAAGCTAAAACGAGAAGCCTATGCCAGATGGAAAAAGGGAATCATCACCAAGAACTACACAGCACTAGCTTGCACCTGTAGAGCGCAAACCAGAAAAGGCAAGGCAGACACCAAACTCAGGCTAGCCCCAGGAATTGAGGACAACAAAAATCCTTCTTCACATATATGGGAAGTTGGAAGAAAAAGGTAACATTGGGCCTGCTGCTAAATCAAATGGGGCAGCTGATGTTTGACACTCAGGAAAAGGCTAATCTCCTAAACAATTACTTTGCATCTGTCTCCCACCTGCCCAAAAGGGTCACCCTGTCAGATAGGATGCAAAGCATCCAGGGGGCAGGAGATGCGTCCATAATTGACACAGATCAAGTGAAGGAACACCTTGAGAGACTCAACATCCACAAGTCTGGGCCCAGATGGTATGCACCTGAGAGTCCTGAAGGAGCTTGTAGACATAACGTGTCCTATGGTGAAGCTATTTGAGAACTCATGGTGCTAAGGAGAGGTACTGGAGGACTGGAAAAGAGCCAACATGGTCCCAATCTTCAAGGAAGGAAGGAAGGCCCAGGGAATTACAGACCAATCAGTCTGACATCCATCCCTAGAAAGATCCTGGAGAAAACTATCAAGGGTTCCATCAGCAACAGGCTAATGGACGGCAACATGGCTTTGTTATTGGAAGGTCTTGTCTGGCCAACCTCGTCTCCTATGACCAGAAGGAGACACATTGCCTGGACAAGGGAGACTAGGTTGATGTCACATCTGGATTTCAAGAAGGCCTTTGACTTGGGTCTCCCATGATGTCCTTACGGCTAAGCTGGAAAACTGCAGCCTCAACCATCTTAAGGTCCGATGGCTGGGGAACTGGCTCCAGGATTGGACCCAATGAGTACTGGTTGATGGGAACAAATCAACATGGTGGGAGGTGACTAGTGGTGTCCTTTTAGGGCTCAGTACTTGAGCCAGGTACTCTTCAACATTTCCATTAATGATCTGGATTTGGGCGTCAGATGCAGACTGGCAAAGTTTGCAGATGACACTAAACTATGGGGGAAGGCGGTCACGCTGGAGAACAGGTTGGGGATGCAAGCCTGTACAGGTCAGCCTCTAAGGTGGGTGGACCAAAACCTGATGGCATTTAATGCAGAGAAGTGTAGGGTGCTCCACCTTGGGAGGAAAAACCAGCAACAGTTACAGGCTCAGCAGTGCTACGCTTGCTAGCACCACAACTGAATGAGACTTGGGGGTCTTGACTGACCACAAGATAAACATGAGCCACCAATGCAATGCCATAGCTGGCAAATCAAACCAAACCCTGGCATGCATCCACTGATGCATCTTAAGCAAAACCAGGGATGTCATCCTCCCACTCCGCTCAGCCATAGTGAGGCTGCAATTGGAGTATTGTGCCCAATTTTGGGCTCCCCACTTCAGGAGGGACGTCATGGATAAGCGCAAGAGAGTCCAGAGGAGAGTTGCCCGCATGATCAAAAGCCAAGAGAGCAAGCCTTATGAGAAGAGGCTGAGGGAAATGGGACTCTTCAGCCTGGAGAAAAGGCTCAGGGAGGACTTGGTGGCAGCCTATATGTGCACCAGGATCTGGGAGAACAGTTGCTTCCCAAGGGCTAACAAGGTCTAACTGCTACAAACTTGGAAGGCCAATTTAGACTGGACACACAGAAAAACTTCTTTATGGTCCAAAGCCTCTGTAACAGACTACCCCCAGAGGTGGTGCAAGCATCTACTCTGGACTCATTCAAATGGCATTTGGATGCTTATCTTGTGGGGTCATTTGACCCTAGCAGACTTCCTGCCTATGACAGGAGGGCTGGACTCAAATCTTGCGAGGTCCTTTCCAGCCTCTAATATCTATGAATCTAAGATCAGCTCCTAGAAGGGCCTTGTATGGTGAGGAAACCTGGGATACCTGTTGTGTTCAAGAAATAAGCAGTGCGATGTGTCTAGTTTCTATTACACCAAGGTATGATAGGGAAAGGTGGGCAGTCCATTTGCCCTAGCTTGTGGAGAACATCCTCAAAGTCCACTCTAAAATGTATTGATAGACATTGATAGGCCTAGCAAGGAGAAGGTAGAGTTATTAACAAATAGAGGCATATTTTTTTGCCTAGAAATTAAATTTATAAGCACAAAAGCTAAGTTATAGCTTTTAAGCTCACAAGCTTAAAGGATAAAGGGATGCAAAAGTTGATCTTTGTGTACACACAATCTTGCTGAGTATATAGTTTGTTGAATGCCCTGATGTCTTTGGTACAATGTGGGTAAACTAATGTTCCTAAGGAAACCATGTTTGCGTTTCCATGTTCTTATAAATGCTTAAGATAAAACTGGCAGGAGCCACTGAGTCTAGTCCTCTGCAGTAGTAGCAGATAATTATTTCCTTCATTGTTGTCATTTAGAAGCTTTAATAAATTCCTGCTAATACTTAAAGTGGAAAACATGTTTATTAACATTCTTTCAAACTCCCCTTATACAAGGCCATATAAAAAATTCTCTGCATTTTGATTATACATGTGTGAGGTTATTTTCTACATAGTTACAATGGCATTATATATAATTTTAGCTTTTCATGATACACTGGTAAGTACAGAGTTCTCTTTAATATTTATAAGCACTTGTTTTCAAATCAAAAACTCGAAAAGAACCATTTCTCTATATACAAAGTTTAGCAGATTAATGCAGCACAAAATGCTCCTTAGTTAGAGGTATATGATTTGAGGATCAACAGAACACTTAATATAATTCAGTATGTCTATATGTAACTTGGCTTGCTGTTCCATTTTGGTCACCCCTGTTCCTACATTATTGTCATAGGAAATTAGTTTAGCTGCTATTAGCAAACAAAGCCTATTAATACATTTTGAATATTTTTCCTGTGAGTTACTTTCAATGTAATAGATTTCAAAGTTGTTTTTTTTTTCACAATGTTGAACTGCTTTTGCAAGCTCAATAGGATTATTTAGAAAGGCAAACAAATCACTGCTGTAGAGCCCAAATCTTCAATTTCTCTGCTTTCTTTGCAACTTGGCTGCTAAAGGGACTTCTTCTACCCCTTGATTTCAGTAGTAGCAAGTTTGGGAAATCCCTGCAGAAACAGGCACCATGTACTTTTTTTGGTTGGGCTGGAGAGTAATGCCATACACATAATAAATATTGCTATCCCTATAATCCAATCTTACCTACAAGAAGTAGCCAGGAAAATATTCTATTTTTTTGTGGCTAAATCCCATTTCAACAAGATACTGACATTTAAAGTAAAATTTTCTTGTAACATCTCTATTTGTGGAAACTACAAACATTATTCAGTAGGACTGTGAAGTCCTGTTAAACTGTTCATTTTGAAAAGACAAATATGTGAATGAGTACCGGAACCAAAGAGAAATCCATCTGTAATTAATATGATTAAACCAGAGACCCACTATGTGAACAGTTACTGTCTATTAAAGTAACCAAAGGGGTTACAAAATAAAACATATTCCCTACATAAATGTATGTAAAGTATAGCTTTACGAACAATTTAGTTCATATGCAATTGGTCGCTAGCAGTCCTGAAGCTATTCAAACAGTATTTGCCACTCTGTACTCCCTTTCATCACTGGGTTGTAGTTGAACCACTATGCTCTCTTCAGTTATTCCATTTTCTGCATCACTACTATCAATCTCCTCATTATCATCTTCCTCATATTCTGAAGACTCAGTCATATTTTGATGGGAGTGAGATTCTGACAGAGCCCCAAATGACTGAGTACTAACTGATGCTAGAGGTCTAAGTAAAGGGGTATTTTCTGACACCTCATTTTCTTCTTGACTACTGTCTGTTTCGGAGTCTGAATCCCCTTGAGAAGGGACCACTTTCTGCTTACATACAGGACAAGTTTTTTTGGTTTTAGTCAGCCACGGGTCCACACACTTGCAGTGATAAGCTGTTAGAAAACAAAATAAGAGTGTCATGTTTACTTAGAAAATGATGATCTTGAGGTTAACCCTGCTAAATCAATTTTGTTCTCAGCCTTATGTTAAAAAACATTAATTCTAAACGACAAGTTTAGAGAGTGCTGGTTATTGCAAGTTTGGCTGCTGTACACAGGCTGTGTATAGCAGCCAGTATGACGATCCTACCTGGAGCCTGTAAACACTTACTGCAATATAAAAGTATACTCAATAATTGCATCCAATTAATAGAGGAATATGTTTTGTAGCTTTACTCGTAAGTGATTACTACATTGTAACTATGAACTCATCCACATTGCTGGCACTCCCACCCATTAATTTATTTTTATCCTTTCTTTCCTGAGAAAGTTGTGGCAAGACTATCTCGTGTTACCTGGAGTCCAGATCTCTTTGTCCCTGTTTTGGCATTAGAGATAGATCAGGCATGGTAGTAATCGCACTGATCTCAGTGGCCTAGTCTAAACTCAAGGGAGAAAAAACATGTCTAACTGTTAAAGTTAATATGATATTCAAAACAATCTGGTATGGACAAGGACAGTTCAGGAGTTCTAGGGTTAACTAAAACCCACACATTTAAAAAAAATGACTTGTCCCTGTCTATTAGGTATAGTCATGTTTAACATGCTAGTAAAAATGTGCTATTTAACATGTTTTTAAACATGGTACATTTTCCCAGTGTAAATATAGCTTTCACCAGGATACCACTTACTGAAAACAGGTGCCTGTTTATATCTGTCAGTAACATTAGTAATATTAACCATGAGGTTTGGTTAGCTTTATCATCGCTCACTGGGGTAGATGCTATGGTCCTATTCTTTCTCTCTCTCGCGCTCTCCCGCTCTCTTTTTTGAGGTATACCAGTTATTTGTCCTTCTACCCCAAAGTTTCTTCTGCATGGCATTCTAAAATAGTCTTTAGTTACTTGTTCTGTTTAGTGTATATGAGTTTATTATATAAGAAAAGAAGATGGTCTGGACTGCACTGTCATCCCTGTCTCTCTGTTATCTGAACCAGGAGGATAGCATTGGCATTTGTGATGTCTAGTGAAAATGGGACTTAGATGGAAACAAGCTGGTTGATGCTCAATACAGACAAGATAAAAATTTAAGGTGGGCCAAGAAAAGGGTTTATGAATTAAAGCAAGGTATAAATGAAAGTTTCTGTCTTACTGTTTAGAGCACAGATTCAACCAGTGTCGTGGCTGAAAACTAAGAGCTGATGTTTTTCGAGGGATGCCTTGAGTCTAAAAAGGTGGAGAACCACTGGCTAAGGGTGTTTGTCAAGTGCTCCTAGATTTCTAGAAAAGGATATCGCAGGCATGGGGTGTGTTTTTTGTTTTGTTTTTTCCTTGTACATGTGTGGAAACTTAAAAGTGTTGTACAAACCTCTTGTTTGGACTGATGGCTTTACAACTACTGGATTTTAGTGCAGTGAGGCTACATGTGACAAAGGTTACTTGGCACATACAGCTGGTACTGGTTAAGTCACAGGGAACCTATTACACTAATTTGTGTGGCAGTCCTTAAACTTTAAATATGTAGGAACAGCAGATTTTTCTCTCTGACCTGACAAGATAGCGGCCTGACCTTCAGGACACTTGGCCAAGCCCATGTTTTCTCTCAGGTATTTCCCTGAGGAAGGTGATCAAGTAGCCAGACTTACTTATTTGCTTTTTATGATTATTCTTTAATTTTTGATATTTAAAAACAGGCACTTCTATCTCAGTTTGTGTAATGCATCAGAAATGTCAGAGAGGCTGTCTTTTATCCATAATTTTTAAAACAACTTCTGTGTGGCTGATGCAGCTATTTTTGATGAACAGTTCTTGTAATTAAATATAAGACTTAAAAATATCAAACTAATACCAATTAATAAGCAGTTGCATACCATGGGAGCAGGGAAGGATCCTGAGCTTGTCACCATCTTCATATTCATCCAAACAAATGGCACATACATCATACTCGTCTCCTGCAGCAGAAAATTGTGAATCAATGTTAAACTATAAGATATGCAGCAGAACTATTAGTTTTCAAATATATTCAGATATGTTCTAATTATTTTCTTTTAAGGTTTTTGGGTATTATTACCTTTTTCTAGCCTTAGAATGCATTGACTGTCAGAGGAGTATGGTAACTAAATTCTAAAGTTGATAAAGAAAGAAGTACAAGCATAGTCAACAGTGAGTTCCATCTCTACAAATGGCACTTAAAGTTGAACATCACGGTATCATCACTCTTCCACCTGGACAATTGTCAGACCATGCTAAATATCAGAGTAAGCAACCACATCCTTTTCCACAAGCACGCCCACCCCCAGCAGAATATTGTGCTCCTGTACAGTCCAGAAGTTGTCACACTAAAAGGCTTGAAACTGTACTTGACGGTGTGCTAAGATTCATCACAGGCTGCACAACTTACACACACAGATGCCCTGTACTCTCGGGCATTAGACTAAATGATATAAGACAACAGACCCTAACATTGTTACTAGCAATACAGGCAAGCGATGACTATAATTGCCTGATCCATCGAATGTTCATTGAAAAACCAAATCGGTGGAGGCTTAAGAGGCTTAAACCATTTATACATGAAACCCACAAACTCCTGGAAGAGATCAGAGATACTGAACCAAACCTATGGGCAGCAATGGGGTGGGATCAAGGTCAGATCTATTCCTAAACCATCTTCTATCAACAGTGAATCTGTCCCTCATTGGGCATGACCCTGTCAGAGAAACATGGCTCAAGCTGAACAGACTGAGAGTTGGATACAGATGCTTCAAAACAACACTTAACAATCTGTTCATCTTGGAATATGGTATCCTGCAAACAGCACAGCACTTTAGCAAAAGCTACAGTCTTTAGCAGAAGCTACAGCATTTGCCCAGACAAGGTAGATGGAATCCGCATATTGAACAATAATACCAGACAGTGGATCATAGATCTGGAAGTTGATACCTGATGCCCTATTTTAGTTTACAAGGGTCATCCTTTAGTTTCCTTTTTTAAAGATGAAGGACAACAGGACGTCAAAAATGGTGCCAAGTTTAAAACTACAGCTTTTGCATTTGCTTCCCTGCAAACCAGGAGCAGAGCCAAGCCCCTCCACCAATGGCAGGGGGGCAGGCCTGGCTGGGAGCACCACACTGCGTTGTGCCACAGCCAGGCCAGGCCACAAGCACTGCGCCTCTGTGGGCAGGTGGGTGGCAGCAGTGGTGGGGGGCCTTGGGGGCTATGGCCAATCTAAAATTCATCTTAGCCCTCCCACCCCAGTAGTCACCCCTGTGTGTCCATGTGCAGAGAGCGAGTAAGTAAAGTGCATATCCATCTGTGGGTGTGCCTGTGTGTATGTTCATTTGTAGCAGGGGAAGTGGGAGCAGGGAAAAGAGGTGGGCATGTGCCCCTCCAACCCCAGCCCAGTGGGATCTACCCAGCCTCCCTCTGCCAGCACCAGGAGGGGAAGGGGTCCCTCTCCCCATCCCACCCCTGCAGCCCAGCTCCCACTGGGGAAGGGGGCCTGCAATTGTGTTTGCCCAGGACCCCAATACACCTTAATCTACCTCTGCCTCCCGGGTGCGCGCAACAGCGGGAGCCCCCCAACACTCCTGGAAAGGCCCAGGCAGCCCCAGGAAGAGCCTGGGCAGTGGGAGGGGCTTCTGCATACAAAAAAATTGCTGATGGTACTTAAGGCTCTATCGTTTTGAATTGGTTGTACGCAATCTGTCAGTTTAGGAACCGCTGGACTAGTCTCATACACTTCTTCAGTTGCTTAAACCAAGCTATCTAGCAAGTTGGACCCCACTCATCCACCATTCTGGCCAGCCTCTCCATCCCAAGCAGGAATAGTTTAAATCTGTATGACCTTTAGGCATGACAGTGCAGGAAGAATGGTCCCCAAATCCTATTTTGCAGGAAAGGAAGCAGAGAGAGGACTCTCAGATTCCCAGGGGCAGAAAAATCCTCTCTCAACACTCAACTAAGGGCAGGGATACAGACTCAAAGCCCTCAGGAGGCAGAATGCCCAGATCTCACCATATATGGGTGGCCAAAAGAGGGCACAGGCCTTCCTTCAGGATGCATAAGTCCACCCCTGGACCAAGGTACACACAAGGTTGGGGATAATATTGGGCTGTCAGGCCCTTGATTCCCCTGCCATTTTATTCCATGTCCCAACCCACTCTGCCAGCCCCCATCTCATCTTCCTGACATGGCACTCCCAACTGCTCACAACCTTTTCTCACCATCCATCCCTGTTTATCCCCTCTCATAAACACACCACCTTACCCAGCAATCCCTGCTCCTTTTCTTGGTATATGCTCCTAATCCCTTTCCCCTCCAAGAAAACCTTCCTATGCATCATTTATTTTCTTCTTGAAAATAGCTTGAATGCTTTCCACAGTACTGACTGGACTCATATTACATTTCCCCATATTAAAAATCCCAGAGCAGGATTGCACTTCATTTGCAGATTTCTGCCAGGCAAGGTTTCAAACCCACAGTGCCGGGAATGTAGGTCAGGTTCACCAGCCATGGGATGGCCCTTACGCCATGCAGGTCTCCTGAAAGCAGGCTGCTAAAATCTCAGTTGGTTAGTCTTCTAACATGTGCACATTACAGTCAATTTGGCGCACAAGCATTTAGCGAAGACCAATTTAGAAAGCTTAACTTTTTTCTTTATAACAATTCATATTACTATTTCAGAGGCTTAATGTATTAGCTGGGTTAAACATAGAGTGACTAACATCAGTCAGATAACAAACCAAAGCCATGGGCTGGGGCCCAGGTGCAAGCAAAAAGTTGTAAGATTAACTTGCAGATTGTTGGTGATAATATGTTTTCTGGTTCTGTGCCTAAAAAAGAAACCTAAGAATAAGTCAGAAATACAGCCGGGGGCAGGGGAAATCACATGCACTGGAACATGTAGCATATCTGTACCTTTATCTTCAGCATATGCAGAGTCTTGTAATACACAACAGCATGATCATTCTTAAACATGTTTAAACAATTTAGAGCTGATTGAGAAATACAAGCAGCCAGGGAAGTACAGTAGCAGCCTGATGGCCTCCACATATTTATACAGAAATGAACATGGTTTTGGCTTGCAAATCAAGGCTTGGCTTATATTTCACATTACCAAAAAAAGGATAGTCTCTAATTACTTCTCTTCTTTGCCCTGATGACTTAGAATTGCTGCACATGCTCTTTTTAGGATGTTAACTAATATGAACTAAGATCTGAACCACCTCATTAACAACAGGGCTGTTTTAATTAATCGGTCTAGTATTTCACCTTATTCTTATCAAGAAGCTTTTACAGGTTTCCCCGTCTGTCCCGTGTTGAAATGTTACTGACCTTGCTGTAAGGGAACAAAACTATGAGACAGATTTGTAGTTCAGATTATTATTCAAATCAAGTGTAGCATGCTGAACTGGTTTTGTATGTTAATCTTTAAAAACAAAGGGACATTTCCTACCCCAAAGTTCTTTCAATACAGATTAAGTCAAGGAAACACATTATACTTCATTAACACCTATCAGAGCAACCCATCAGAACACAGTGCTTTAGAAACACTAAATATCTGTGTAAAATAACAGTATTGTTTCCATTTTACAAGGGAAGAACCTGGGCTGGGATCTTGAATAAGATCACTAGTGAATGAGTGTCAGAGCTAGGAGTAGAATACCACCACACCACAGACTCTCTGCCTCATGTTTTAAAGAGACTCTTAATTCAAGCACTTCTTGTAATTTGATATTACAAATCTACACCCCTTCCGTGTTTTAAAAGAAGTATTCAAACAGCTAAAGTTCCTGAGTGCATTTAATATAATGACTGTGGCAAGGAACGTGCTGTGTCCTTTTGGGCTTTCTGACACTCAAAAAACTAAACAGAGTGACACTCACAAATATTTAGGCTCATATATGGGTGCTCTGGGGGAAGGAAACTTACTATCCTATACTCCTTTCCCTCTCATCAGGCCTAATCCTGTTCTCCTAATGCATCTTGAACTCTCAGAGTTGACAAAAAACACAGAATTAGCCTCACCATTTTAGAAAAATAAGGTTACACTTTTCCATCTCAACTATTTTTATTGGCCATCATGAAGAGGAAACTAAATTGATTTTTGATATCTATGCAGTATCTGCTAATATTTTTATCTGCAAGGAAGAATGAAAGGTATCTAAGCAATATATCTTTCTAAATACAGTAAAATCCCTGTTATCTGTCATTCTACTATCCAGAACACTCTACTAACCGAAATTTCCGGTCGAACGTTGGGGGGGGGGGATTTCACGCAGTGGCTCCCACCCCCACCTACCCCCCCCCCCCTGCCACTAGCCCCCCACACCCTGCTCCATGTTCCCAGTGGTGGGAAGCGGGGAAGAGCCAGGGCTGTGCTCCACGTGGCTCCACCAGCCCCACAGAGCTCAGCCTGGCAGCAGGAGGTGGGGGGAGAGCCAGTGGCGGAACCGCTTGGAACGTAGCCCTGGATTTGTGTGCAGCCCTGCCCAGTGGCTCTCCCCTGCCTCCCACCACCAGGCTCAGCTCCGTGGGGCTGCGCAGCCTCCCACTGCCGGGTTGTGCTCACCAGGGTTGCACTCCAAGCGACTCCACCACTGGCTCTCCCACCATGGAGCTGAGCTCCATGGGGCTGGCGGAACCACTTGGAGCGCAGCTCTGGTGAGCACAGCCCAGTGGCTGGAGGCTCCAGAGCCCCAGGGAGCTGAGCCTGATGGTGGGAGGCAGGGAAGAGCCACTGGCCAGAGCTGTACTCAGATCCAGGGCTGCGCTCTGAGAAGCTCCACCACTGGCACTCCGCTGCCTTCCGCCACCAGGCTTAGCTCCGTGGGGCTGCACAACCTCCTGATGCCAGGCTGTGCTCACCAGGGCTGTGCTCCGAGCGGTTCCACCACTGGCTCTCCCGCCGCCAGCCTGAGCTCCATGGGGCTGGCGGAGCCACTCAGAGTACAGCCTGGTGGCGGGAGATGGGAAGAGCCAGGGCTGAGCTCCAAGTGGCTCTGCCAGCCCCATGTAACTCAACCTGCCCTCCCAGCGCTGCTGAACTTCTCCCGGGGGTATGGGCCCCCAGATCTGCATGCGGATGACAGAAGGCTACCACTGCTGCCTGGGGTCAGCAGCAGCACCAGCCTTCCCAGCACTGGGTACAGGCTGCCCCCAACATTAGTCCCAGGTGGTAGCAGAAGCCTCCTGTCATCCTGAGCACAGATCCGGGGGCCCGCACCCCCAGGAGGAGTCCAGCACAGCCCTTCCGGGGGTGTGGGGCCCCATATCTGCACATGGGATAACAGGAAGCTGCCGCTGCTGACTAGGACCAGCGCCAGCACCAGTCTTCCTGGCGCTGGGTGCACGCTGCGTCCAGTGCCGGTCTCAGGCAGCAGTGGCAGCCTCCTGTCATCCTGAGTGCAGATCCAGGGGCCTGCACCCTCGGGAGGTGTCTGGCACAGCCCCACAGACCACCTGGGGATGTGGGTGCCCAGATCTGCACACAGGATGACAGGAGGCTGCCACTGCCAGCAAGTGACATGAGTTTTGCTTTTAACAGTTTGAGGTGCAGTTTTCCAGAAACCTCTGCACCTATCTCCTTGAAACTTAGCAGGCTTCATGCCCTCAGAAGGGGCTACCATCCCTGCAATTTCCATCTGAATCAGGCAAGAAATGACAATGTTATAGGCATTTTCATGATTCCCCATTACAGCCTATGGGTGAAACGTCAAAACGTGTTGAAACAGCAAAACAGATTTGACAAAATGAAACAACAAAATGAAACACTGTCCCTTCAAAACAACGAAACAGAAGTCAAAACGAAATGGTGCTGTTTTGCACAGCCCGACTGCATATGTTCACAGGGTGTTTCAATGGCATCAGTGATGAATCAGGGATAAACCATATAAATGTAATGAATTACACTGCATTTTCATTCCAGTTTTTGGTAGCCTGTAAGACGAGTAAGAACGCTACTACTAAATAGTATTTTGTGATGTATATTTTCAAAGCACAGCCCCAACACAAACCAGTGAATGGCCATAGAAGCATACAGAAGTAGATAATATGGTTATTCCTATTTAATTGGAAAAGGGAACAAAGATAATTATGATTTTCTCCTTGTTATGCAGTGACAGCAGATATTCAAACTTGGGTCTTGATTCTTTGGCCTGTGAAGCAGCTAGTATTCGCTTCGGATTCAGCTGATTTGGAGGGCCAGTGATTCGATTCAGTGATTCAAATCACTGTCCAAAATCCATTTGGCTGCTGCCGAATTAGCCGAATCTCCAAATTGAACAGGCCCCACCCGCTCTCCCAGCCCTGTGTATGGCTGCCCTGACCAGCTCCAGTGTCCCAGCACTTAAAAAAAAAAAAAAAGCCCCACAGTCACTGGCTGCTGCAGTGGCCGCTGGGGCTTCTGGGGCCTCATGGCAGAGCCCTCCACACAGTGGGGGGGCAACGGGGATCACCACCCCCTTCCCTCCCCACCTGGAAGGAGCTGGTGCGTGCGGGGCTTTTTTTTTTTAAATGTCGGAATGCTTGGGCCAGTCGGGGCAGCCATTGACGGGGCTGGGAGAGCAGGTGGGGGGTGGGGGTTCATGGCAGAGCCCGCACACAGCATGGGGCAGTGGGGGGCAATGGGGATCGCCCCCAATCTGGCAGGAGCTGGTGAGTGCAGGGCTTTTTATTTTTATTTTTTTTAAGTGCCAGGGCACTGGGGCCAGGCAGGGCAGCCATTGATGGGCCTGGGAGAGCAGGAAGCGGTAGGGGGCACTCAGGGAGCTGGGGGAATACGCAGGGGATGGGGCCTGGTGGGGGTCCCCCCATGGTCCCTGCCCCCCTCCTTCAGCATCCCCCGCTTACTTACCGGCACGGAGTCCGGGTCCAACTCTCTACGGTGGTGAGCGGGGACTGCCCAAATCGCCAAATCTTTTCCAAATCGATTCAGAGGCCTTGGATCGATTTGGACCTTTTTACTGGTCTCCCAATTTGATTTGGATTTGGAGATTCAGCCGCTGAATCTCCTCTGAATTGAATCAGCAACTGAAGCTTTGCACAGCCCTATTCTCAGGTTAGCATAGCACCATTATTTCACCCAAATTCTTTAGTATCCTATTTGCTTTCTGACAGATAAGCCCCAAATAGACTTTCAATGGTACCACAGGAAAACTGGAATATGTTTCTCCCATAGAACACATGCCATTCCTTGTTGCCTTAATGGGAACAGAGAGGATGTAACCCATAGACATAAAGACAAAGTTGGTGCTGCAACCACTAGCTGTTAAGTACATCACAACTGTTTTATGAATAAGCAGTCAGAGAAATAGATATGAGAAAAATATATTCTCTAATGGACAGCGCAGATTTCAGACAGATTTTTATACAAATTAGACTAGAGTGTTGACTTGAAATAATGTGAGAGAACACAGGGAGCATACAAACTATAATATCAAGATCATCATAAACTAAATCTTTCAAGTCCATCACGCTCTGGCTCTTCTTTCTCAAAACATAGCTTTCCTCTCAGTAAATAAATCTCTCTTTTTAACAAATAGCTTTTTCATTTGCCATAACAGTCCTTCTCTGCCTTCAGTCCTCCTAGGTCCCATTATCCTTTATTTGTTTATCCCCTCTAATGGCAACATTATTTCAGAGTTCAACACAAAGATCAGTTATGTCAGCTGTAAGTCAACAGGCAGTACAGGTTACATGTTAGAGACGTATTCAAATACTGGACAAAATTTCCTTTTTTTTAACAAGGATGTCCCTCAGCTATCACGAAATCCTGGAAAATGGTTATATAATGTTCTTAAAGATCCCGGCTTGACAAGTATGGTTGCTGGGAAGAAAATGGAATGCTAAAAGTGTATAGTCATAAAGATGCACAATGCTCAACCATCATGCCTACTCTTTTAACTGGCTCTTTGCCTCTGAGGCTTTTGCTGTGTTTGGGGGTCAAAGAAAGACACTTTCACATCTTTATTCCCACA